ACAAGTTGTGTCGTATAAATATCTAGATAATGTGAAAGCAAAATATCATGTTGTCGAAGCATAGTTTCAAAATTGTGATGTATTATATTTCGAAACCGACGTAATGTAAATCATGAAATTTAATCATAACTTTCAAGTTCTCATGACAAACAGTGGTTTCATAATATGAGATGAATTATCGAAACATTGTAAATTAACGAAGAAAATTTTTATCAGAATTTAATCAAGATTTATAATACGAACATTTATTAATAACAGTCTTTAAACTGAAACTTATAAAATTTATTTTGGCGATATTCTAGATAACATTTCAATATGCTTTTACAATAAAAATTTGAACTCCATGCTGTAGACATAACTTTTTGTATAAAAAATATGAAATTTTATCTATATTAATTGATATATATATATATATTTAGAATTGTTTAAAGAAACTAATACCCATCTTGTTTATTGGCCTGATACTTTATTGAATTATCAAGCGAATGCTTGTTAAAAACCTACAAATGTATTGTTTTTCCACAAAAATATATTAATTTTTAAGGTCGATTTTCTTTTATTATCTCAAAAATGCTAATTTTTTACTTGTGTTGTTCTTCTATCAACAGAGCGATATCTGTACATTAATGCAAAAACATAACAGAGTAGAGTAGCAAATAATTCGACAAAGAATCGAGAAAACAAGAAGAACGTTTTTAGTTTCACGTAAACCTTTTAATTCCATTGCTGAACTTCTTTGGGGCAGGGTGAGAGGTTCTGACGAGGAAATGGACGTGCTGAAAGAGACACGTTCGTTTTTCCTCGTGCTGAAGTGCGCTGACTGTTTTCATCGCGTTAAAACAGCGCCACGAAGCAACGGAGAAACGTTTTCACGCTTTATTACCGCCGGTGTTGCATGAAGCGCTGAGTACGCTCTCAAGGAATACGTATACATATAACCGTACACTTGGATCGAAACGATGTATGTCTCGTAAAGCGCATTTTCTACTGAATTCTCAAGTATCTTCTTCTCTCCACGAGTTATAATCCTCTGTCGCGTCGGCTTGAAAAGAGTGTGCTTTGAGCCACTCGTGCGAGTAGACCAATTTCTCCTTCATGCACACTAAGATTCTTTAATATTCTTAAATTTGCTGATCGATAAACAGGTATTGAATGTACGGCTTGAATTCCCTCCCTCTCTTTGAATAAAAAATAACATTTTAAATAAGTGTAAGAATCTACGTAATAGAAACAACTACAAATATAGAGACAAATATCGGAAAATGTACGTAATAAAGATAACTACGAAATGGAAACAAATATCGAAAAATAATTATTTTATCTCAAATATATTTAACGTCATTAATTCTCCATAGCTGATGCAAAATCTAATAACACAATTACTAACGCTGGGTCTGTGAGATCCATTTAATTTATGTTGACTAAAAGGTATTCATTAATTTCGAAGAACCAAAATGACAACTCGCATAAAAAGGAATAAATACTAATTTTATTTTAATAACAATAATTTAAATTTACAGATACAATAAAGAATCTAATTGAGTGGTCCAATAGATTCACCGTCAGTTCTGGAAGGTTAAAAGCAGTCATAAAGAAAATGCATTCGTTTTTATAACTGCTCAAAGGCAATTTGCCACCACGTTATTGATTCGCTAATTCATTTGCCACCGTGTGATTTAATTTTATCAATATTACCTTCCAATAATTCAAATCGAGAAGCTTCACGATCGCGATATCTTAGTTTACTAATGGCGCGTCGTACACCAGATTCCTAGAGCACGGAACGTTTATGGCGATCGTGCCAGGAATGCAACATATGCCCTGCGAACAACATATTCCCTGGGATCAGTAGGGCGAATAGAAACCGGAAAGGTATACCGGGGCCACCGAGTTTGCCCAGCCACTCGATCGAAATACTTAAGGAAGGATAGCTGCAGCTGGGATTCCGATATAACGCTGAACCGACGTTTCTGTACGAAGATTAATGTTCAAATTGAAAACGTTTCTTGAATTCCAAGTGAATCCGCCCTTAATCGCTCGCTGCGAAATAATCGGAGTACGTTGACTCGCTCGCTGGTAAACAGAGTGAGAGAAGATCCGATACTATTACCCTTCAAGTTGCAGACTCATTTACCCTTCTCTCTTCGCGCGTAGGTGTCCCGTACGTACGTATACTTATCGTGTGTATATTAGTGGAATTGTTATTTGTTTGCTTCTGTCATTTTGACAGATATTTTATTTGCCAAGAAATTCTATCTTTGAAACTGAAAATATTACTGACGAGTATAAATGTCTTTCAAACTCGTAAAAGAACTTTCTAAAATATTTTCCAGTAGATCCGGATCTACTGGATATAGCACGCGCACGTCCAACTCTTTTAAGACTTAGTTAATCATATTTTACGAGAAACCTCTTCAGTGATCTCTTGCGAGTGCTTTCCGGCGCGTCTTACTGGATTCGAGTTTTAAAGCCTTTAGCACGTACGACCGATGGAACGTCTCTTGTTGTATGTTTCACCGATCGTAAAGGTGATGTTCATCGACGCTCCGCGGAAGCGTGCAGATGTGAATGTAGATGAGAATGGTGTGGCCCTATTGAGGCTTTTCGCACTGCGATCCTCCAGCCGGGTCAGAAGGAAAAGGCATTCGTGGATCTAGTTGGGCGTGAATGGCGCGATATCGCGGCTTGGCGCTCACGAAAAATCGATTCGGTCTAGACGCCGTCTTTGTGATACAGATTTCTGAATCGGCTATTGCCTCCGCTCGATTACGCGTAAAAAGCTTTATGACTGTTCGTCCTTTCTGCATAACGTATCAGCTTTGAAGTTCTATATTAGAAGGAAAGCTTATTTATTATATATAATACTTTTACGATCAATTTAACAGTGTACTTTTGATATATTATATTTCCAATTACGAAATGTAAGAAAGACCATGACATCTCTTAAAGATGTATTTATGAATATCATGTTTAGAAAATCTCATATAACATGATTTTCTATTAAATACTGCACAGGAAGCGCGCAACTTTATAAATGATATTTTCAAATAGTTCCCATTGTGTATTTTCTATATACTCAAACTAAATGTCATTTAGACAGAAACTCATTAGCATCGTCAACAACCGTCGACGTCGCCGGTCTATTTGAATAGTATTCCCTTGACAGATACTATCAAATTAAGAACATTGTCTTTGTGTGTGCAACTTCGTGTCATGTTATATTCAGTAACAGCAGTTCTGTGTACGAAACTTTTTCTACTACGTAAAACTTTGGATATAGTCGAAGAAGTTGCTAACGTTGTCTACAATAGTTTTTATACGCGAAGTAAAGTCTAAATAAAATATAAAATATCTCATAAATTATTGATTTTTCAATGAGCTCATCTCAATACTTTTATACACAAAATAATAAAAGAAGTCAATTTATGTAAAAAGAAACACATATAGATATATGGTTTTATTTTTAAGAAATTTTATGTGCATTGTAAATGCATTATTACATCTATAAAAAGAGTCACATCATACAAAATTTAAAATATATTATTACGAGTATTGATTTACTTCTCTATTTCTTTCCTACAATCTCAACTGTAAAGAAGAATCCCTTTCAAAAATTGTATGAATCATACATATATAATGTTATCGTTAAAATATATATAAATAAGTGAAAATATATATCAACGTATAAGATCTGGATAACTTAATAGTAAAAGCAATCTGGCAAGGGAAAGATTCCAGTTTCGGTTCCCAATTTAATCATCTGTAACGGATGCCATTAGTATATGATGATATAAAAATAGATAACAGATAATGGAAAAAGGAAATTGTTAGAGATAAAATTTTTTGATTGAACGAAACTATAAAGAAATTCTCTGTAATTGACTCCAGTAATTGCTTTTTATATAAAAAAAATTTTTTTGTGAAAAGAGAGCAAAGGAGAGAGAGAAAAAATATCTTACGTTTACTAATAATACTGATGCAGAATAGAATATGTTTAAAAATAATAAAAACTTACCTTTTATAAATAAATTTATTCTACATTGTTTATTTATCTTCTTATCTGCCTTTCATTTAAAAAAGTAATCAAAACTAAGAATAAATTCACTATATTTTGCTAGTATGACAGCATTTACTTTTATTTTTCTGTGTAAATACAAACTTAAATTATCTCATTTATTTCAATTGCCGAAACTTGTTACAAAAACTGTCACATTCACCAACACATTCATTATCACAAATACTTTTAAAAAAATCACTAAATCCAGCTTTTAAATTTTAATTGTCATGATGAAAGACCGCCAAAGAGATCAATATTTCAATAAAGAATAATAATATATATCTTTTAACTAGCTCAATTTAAATTATTTATGATGAGAATATTTGATATAGATTTTTATAAATATATTATTTAAAAAACTGCCAACAAAAATTGTTCCTTTACTTCCTTTACTATTGAAAATAACTGTCTCAAGAAACTAAGGTAACACAATTTTTTCTCACACGAATCAAATAATTTTTATATCCTTGTGTATTCGTATTCACCTCCGTCTTAGCGAGACGTGCACTCTTTGTTATTCAAGGAAGCTATTCGCACAATTCTGAGAGCTTGGCTGTACTTTTTCGTAAACATGCTCCAACACGCGTTGCATAGTGTCTGCCAGGCAAAGTTCAACTTTATCCGTAGATTTATTCAAACAAAAATCTCTCATGACAAAGGCAGTTGTAAATATTTGTCAAGAAAATTTTTACAAAGATAATAATTTAAGTTATTACTTTGTACGAACATATAGAAATGAAAAAATTGTAATTTATTAAAAAATATAACTTTGATTATATAGTTCAAAGGGAATTGCTTTAGCATCTAAAATAAATGAAAAAAAATATTAACATATTGCTGTAACTTTTCTTCACATTGCGAATTCTAGTTACATACAACTCATCATTTGACGCAATTCTGCAGATTTAATTTCAGTTTCTTTTTTGTGATTTTTATGTTCCAGAAAGCTTCTTGCGGTCTGTCAGGCGAAAAACGGGATTACGGATGTGACGATACGATGACGCGAGATCCGCAACGACGGGTAGATCACCCGTACGCTGTAGATCGACGGCGGATACCGAGGATGGTCCTTCAGATTCTGTTAATTCAGAATTTTATTACATTTAAAGTTGTCGCTCAGATAGCTGAATGTCCGCCGCCGGAAATAATAACAGGCTGTCCCTGCTATAACTTTGAAGACGGTCTCTTTCTGGAATGCGCTGGCGCTACGGAAGAGACTCTAAGAACTACGTTGCAAGGCGTGCTCAGTAGCAGCGGTAAGCTAAACGATTAAGAGAACAAAAACAAGACTTCTTAACGATATAATCAAGACATGAAATGTGACTTCACTGCATATAATAAAATATTTTTATAATTTTGTGAAGCAACATTGTTTGAAATGTAAACGTTAGAAATTATTGATATCGATATTATATTGAATATACATACTATATAATATTTTCGAATTCCGAAATAAGTATTTCTATGAAAAAATTTATAGATTATAACATATTTAAAATTTTAAATTATACACGTATATTACTGTGATTATAATAATTGTAGTGATAATTTTTCTTTATAATGTTTAAACGCGATTAAATATATTTAATGACAAAAGCATCGGCTATCAATTAAGCCGCTCTGCTTAAACTTATTCGTCACATCTCATTTAATGCTCAACTACCAGTACATGTGTACTTTCTTATATTTCTATGTAGCTACAATGTAAAATTGATGCGGTGGAAGAAAACCATTTTCTGTAATGCGTTCCATAAAACTAATGAAACGTGCAATCAGCCAATGCTGTCAAATTCGAAGTTTATGCTATCGCGATTCAATGAAATTAATAGTCATGTCTTTTACGATCGTTTCCAGGCGCGGGCACGATGGTACAGTCGTTGAGTGTTTATGAGCTCGATAAAAGCATCGAAGAACTAAAAGAGGGTGCCTTCCCGCCCGGCTCACAAATCAGACATCTTCAAATATCACATTCATCTTTGCGGGAAGTAAGCGAGGGCGCTTTTACGAATTTGAAAGATAGCCTGGAATCCTTGGCACTAGTTTCCGGTCGTTTGCCCCACGTACCTCAAAAATCATTGGCTGATCTACGAAAGCTAGCTGCCTTGGATCTCGAGACGAATTTGATACAAGATCTCTCGTCCTACTGTTTTTATGGCTTGAAGCTAATGAAGCTGACTCTGAAAGGAAATCAAATATCGAAAATTTCTGAATACGCGTTCGCGGGCCTCGAGGACAGTCTTAGTGATCTGGATTTAGCTGAAAACAAGTTGAAACTGTTTCCCATGGCTCCCTTGAGGAGACTCGAGAGCTTAGCTTCACTCAGGCTGGCGTGGAACGAGATATCGGAGCTGCCCGACGACGGATACAGTCTCCTCAGCTCTCTGCTGATTCTCGATTTGAGCAGCAACAATTTCGAGAAACTGGCCGAGGACTGCTTCAGACCCTGTCCCATCCTTCACACCCTATCCCTCTACTACAACTCCATTGAGAGCATACACAAGGACGCTTTCGCGTCGTTGAAGGATCTAGAATCGATCGATTTGAGCCACAACAAAATAGTCTTCCTCGACGTGGCAACATTCAAGGGGAACGAACGTCTGCGCACGATCGAACTCAGTCATAACCACATTCACTATATCGGCGGTGTGTTCGCGCGACTACCCGAATTGAGGGAACTTTATCTGGCGGAAAACAATATCCTGGAGATCCCGGGAGATGCGTTCGCCGGCAGCGTCAGCCTCGCAGTGGTGTATCTCCAGCAGAACGCCATCCGTAGAATAGACGCCAAGGGTCTCACGAGTCTCACGCAGCTGGCGCAATTGCATCTGAGTAACAACTACATCGAGAAAGTGCCGCGGGAATTCCTGGAGCATTGCGAAAACCTCTCGTCGCTTTCCCTGGACGGTAACAAGATCCGCGAGTTACAGCCGGGCACATTCCTTAAGTTGCATCAATTGCGCGAGCTGCGGCTGCAGGATAATCATATAACGGAGGTAAAACGCGGTGTTTTCACGCCACTTCCGGCGCTCCTCGAGTTGCATTTGCAAAACAATGCTATTACTTCTATGGAGACGGGCGCGCTGAGGACATTGAATAGTCTCCAGCACGTTAATCTGCAGGGCAATCAGTTGACCATGCTCGGCGATGTCTTTCAGCTGTCCGCCTTGGAATCGTCTTCCGGTGGAAGCTCTTTGGTGTCTATTCAACTGGATAGCAATGGCTTGGCCGTTTTACACAATGACTCTCTGCGCGGCCAAGCGTCCGTCAGAATCATGTGGCTAGGTCACAACAAACTGACACACCTGCAAGCTCCTCTCTTTAGGGATCTCCTTTTGGTGGAACGCCTTTATCTGACGAACAATTCTATATCCAGGATTGAAGACGGCGCTTTTCAGCCGATGCAGGCTTTAAAATTTCTCGAGCTCAGCATGAATAAGCTGAGTCATGTAACGGCAAGGACATTTTCGGAACTGCACGAGCTTGAGGAACTATATTTACAGGATAACGGCTTGAGAAGACTCGATCCTTACGCATTAACGGCTCTTAAAAAGCTGAGAGTGTTGGACCTGGCGAATAATTATCTCACCGTTTTACAAGACGGGATTTTTCAAGAAGATTTGCCAATTAAAACATTAAATCTAAAAAACTGCTCGATAACCACGATAGAAAACGGTGCTTTTCGTGGACTCAACAATTTGTTCGATCTTAATTTGAACGACAATCTCCTCACAGCGACGGCACTGCTGCGTCTGCATGTTCCCGGTCTTCGAACACTCGCAGCGTCCGGCAACAATTTTAGTCAGATCACGGAGCACTGTTTTAATGGATTACCGTCTTTGCAGGAGCTATTCCTGGACAGCTCGCAAATAAGTCAATTGCCGGAGACTATCTTCGTGTTGAATCGAAATCTGGCGCGTTTACACCTGAACCATAATCATCTGCGTGCTCTGCCGCCAGGTATTTTCGACAGATTACTATCACTGCGGGAGATACATCTGAATCATAATCGATTCCAGGATATCCCATACTCGGCACTCGCGAGCGCCCTCAATCTCGAGATTCTCACATTATCAACCAACGAAATTCTCAATGTCGACGTGGCCAGTTTCGCCAGCTTGAAGCATTTGAGAGAGTTGGATCTGAGCCACAATAAGATTGAAACGATGTCCGGTTTCGCGATGGCTAATCTATCGCGTTTGATATCCGTAGATCTCAGTCTCAACAATTTGAACGCTCTACCAGCGAACTTCTTCGCGCATTCGTCCTTGTTGCGCAGAGTGGACTTATCAGAAAATAAATTTCGGCAAATACCCGCGGTGGCTCTCTCGGGTCAGAATCTTCCCGGTCTGACCTGGTTAAATCTTACGCGAAACCCTCTAAACAGAATCCATGATCTGCCATCGGAGGCGATGTATCCTATTCTCCAGGAGGTACATATATCCGGCACCAATCTGAGCATAGTGACCTCGCAAGATTTCGAGGCTTTTCCGGCGTTGTTGCATCTTTATCTGAGTCAAAATTGCATCTTGCGAGTATCACCAGGTGCATTTCGCAGCCTCCCAAATTTGCTCACTCTTCATCTCGGTATGAACAGCTTGGAAATCCTACCGAAAGAACGGCTCCAGGGCATGGAGCATTTACGGATACTCAATTTAACGCATAACCGTCTAAAAGAGCTGGAAGAATTCCCGGAGGATCTCAAGTCTCTTCAAATACTGGACCTGTCTTACAATCAGATCGGCATCGTCGGCAAAGTGACGTTCAAGAATTTAATTAGCCTAGTGGAGCTGCATCTTTATGGTAACTGGATAAACGCCATCTCTAGCGAGGCATTTAGACCCTTGAAGAAGTTACGTCTACTTGACTTGAGTAGGAATTACTTGGAGAACTTGCCGCTGAACGCTTTCCGACCACTCGAGACGCAAATAAGGAGCTTGCGGGCTGAAGGTGAGCTACTTAAACACGCCTAGTATTTGTAATTAATTTCGCGCTCACACGCGCTTGCTTACTCTTTCTCGAAAGCAACGACACGACTGCACGTGAAAGAAAACGATATACGAGAGTTTTCTCTCGTCTATATAGCGGAAGGCTATCGATCCGAGCAAAGTTACTTATACTACTTGAAAATCAATCGTATCGTCAGTCACGTATCGCCATATCTCGAATCAATATTCAACATTGAAACAATCAAACAAGTCTCGTAACTCGTTTCCTTCAGTGAAATCCGTGAATTTGAGTTTCTCGTAACGTCTTAATATATCTTGAGAGCTTATTTAAAATGTATTACGGGCTATATATAACTTTTATTACAAAATGTATAAAAAGATCCGAGATAGCATATATTAACCCCTATATACGGTAATAAAATACCATCCCGTTAATCCGTTTATTCATGAATTACGTAGATATGTTTTATGCTAATTGGAAAGTATTGAACCGGAATTATAAAATTTAATTATTGTTAATGTATGAGGTCTGTAATTAATTTTAGTCAATTACAATGTGCGAGAGAATAAATGATATTTATATTTATTATAATACTTACATTTATTATACATGATTTTTTAATTATGTATTTGAATTAAATTTCCAATGAATAGCTGGGGAGAATGAATAAAGTCTCATTGTAGAAGCAACCAAAATACAAGTTATTAAAAAATTTCTTTTTGTGTGAAACTTGTATAATTTATAAATATGTATTCTTGCGTTAACCGGATAAATTAATCTGTTATCAAATTATAATTAAAATGTACATTATTTAAGCATTTTTTAATATATAACAAAATTGCCTAGTAATATACAATATAATAAAATTATTTGATATTCAAATACATACTTAATATTGGAAAATTATCATATTTTTGTAATATTAATTATTATATTCTTTATTAACACATTATTGATCGAGACATAAGAAAATTAGAAAAAAAATAAAAGTGAAAAATAAACACACTCACAAACACTATATTGAAAACTTTATTAATTTTGAATTCTCTAATAACTTCGCACGATGATTTATATTTATGCTTTCCTTAATAACGTTCAAGCAACAAAAGACATATCAGCTTGTCTTTTGTTGCTCGAACGTTATTGACCGGAAACGAGTTTACTCGTGTTTAGGAAAGCATGAATATAAATCATCGTGCGAAGTTGTTAAAACTCTTAAAATTAATAAAGTTTTCATTGTAGAATTAGTGATTTGTTTATTTTTCATTTTTTACCGCGACTTTTTTTCTGATTTTTCGCATATTATAAGTATAATTTTCATTTAATTTAATTAGTTTGTGTATAAAGCAGCTAGCCACGGACATCAGTTCTTGCATAAAATGCTCGGTCAATAATATGATAATTAACAGTCTTGATAGAAAAACATTTATAAAATTATATGATGAAATTTTGCATAAAATTTTTAATCTGCAATATTGACTTATTATAAAATATCGATAATTGTTTGTGCAATAATTTTTTAAATAATATTTCGATAAAACAATAACAATGTGCAAAATTAAATTTGGAAAGAAAGTATATGATTATAAATTATATTATAATTGAGAAAAATATTTTCGTTATATCATGTTTATAAAATATTTAGAAATATAATTGTGCGTGCGTGCGTGCGTGTGTGTGTACGAAGGGATCAAGTTAATCCTATATAATATATATATATATATACATATATACTCAAAAAATGCACAATTAACACAATTCATTCTTAAATTATAATGTAAAAATATTGTAATGAAATATTATATATTTAAGATAGATAAATTTTACCTATCTTATATGTATAAATAAAGAGTCAAAAATAGTTTTTGGAATGCATATTAATCAGTCTTTCAGAAACGTTCGTTGAGCATTTCAAAATAGTCGAGTAACGTGAGTGCTGATTTTCTTCAATATACTGCTGCTATCTCGTTATTATGTTCGCTTTATTATGTTCTTGAAAGAAAGTGAATTATAAAATATTTACATTTCTCAAATTAGATTTGTCTAATTTTTAACAATTTTATTCTAACGAAACCGCTGTGTGGTTATGGCAAATCTTAGCACAATATTACAAAATGTTCGTCAATTCATAATGCCATTATTGTGCAATTTTCCACAATTTGCATATTGGAGACAATATTTCAATATTAATTCGCTGTTCTTTAAAATTCGAATTTAGTTTTTAAATCGATCTTGTTGAATAGAATGTCGCGAACAATAGCCAATTTTGTTTCATTGGCAGAGAACCCATTACATTGCGGCTGCGAATCGCAAGAATTGTGGGAATGGTTGAGAGACCATCAGAAATTGGTGAGTGGGGTCGGTGGTGGTCGTAGCCGCGGAAGAAATGGTGTCGGAGTCGGTGACGTCGAGGGCGGTTTGTTAAGATGCGAGCAACCACCCGAGCTCCGGGGTCTCGTCTTCCTCGATCTTGACCCTCACGCTTTCTGTTCCGCTCCGCTGGTCCTGAAACTCGCAATTCAAGACATTCAGCCCTTCTCCGTTCTAGTATCGTGGCAGAGCAGGAATCATTCCGGCCTTCATGGATACCAAGTGGCGTACCACGCCTTGGACAACGTCGACGAGGTAAAGAGTTTTTTTATTGTTATGCGAGGAAAATCGTGACCTTACGCTACGTTGAATAAAGTGAACAGAAAAGTAACATTAAATTAAAAGAAATAACTATACATCAATTTATAAATAGAATATTTTTCCATTAAATTATATATTATTAAGTGAAATTGTTCTTTTTATTTAAAATATATAAAAACTTTAAAATTGTTGTAATAATATAACTTTAAATTATGTTTCAAATTACATAGGTATATAATTTAATGTAAAATTATTAATTTCTGTAGCTCTTCTCAAAATTCGCAATGTTTATTTAGTTATTCATAACGTATTATTATTATATTATATTACATTATTATATTTATATTTTTAATTTTCTTACATAATGTGGCACGTTGTAAGAAAATATATACATTGAAAATTTATATTAAAAGTTTATACATATAATTTATTATATACAGACTAAAAATATGCTACATTATTTCTTCGAACGTTATTTCTTATTTACTTGACGCAAAGGCAAGAAGCCCGCGCATGTTGATGGCGAAATATTTCCACCGGGGTTTCAGGTTCGAGGTAAGCTGCTCGATCCAAAAGCACGTTCGGTGAGATTGACGAAGTTGGCATCTGACACGCGCTACCTGATCTGCGTACTTGGTTTGGGCAGCTGGGGCACGCCGATCCCGGAGGATATCGGCTCTTGGCAGTGGAACGCCTCGCATGATGACGTAATCGAAGGATCCTCGTTGCCCGTGATGGTGAACTCGCTTACGAGCCGGTGTACCGAAGTCAGAACTTTGGACGCGCCCGATTCGATAGTGGGCGACGGCACAGTGAGCGACAGGGGCAGTTTGGCGAATATCCTTACGAGACGGCTAGGTCTGATCGTGGGCAGCTGCATGGGTTTCGTGGTCTTTGTGGTGCTGATCTCCGTTCTAGGTTACATGAAAATGAAGAAGCAGAGAGCGACGATCAAACGAGATCAGCCCATGTCTTCGAATCCACCGGAATACATGTCCTACAGACATTTCTCGTTACAGAGCGGCGACAGAGCAGAGAATACCTGTCCGAGTTTCATCAGTAACATCGGGCCCCCGCCCCTCAGCTCGTAGCAAAAGGTGAAGGAGTCTCGTAAAGAGACCGTTGACATCGAGATGAAAACCATGTCGACTTGCACCAGTATCTACAGCTAATAATCGCGCTGCGACGAGGAGACGACGACGCGTCGCGTTAACAACAGTTTCGGTGTCGTCGGAAAAAGTGATGAAGAGCAGGATGACTGGGTGTAGTATCGAGTTTTCGAACTTTTAACGCGCGTTCCAAATAATCGAATAAGAAAATCGTGTCTATTATGTCGATCACATCGTGGAACGGTGATTCGTGACGATTATGGTTCTCTTCCGGCTGTCACGAGACATAATTTCGACATAATTTCTTTTACTTCGCGTAACCCACGAGACAAATGCTATTCGATTAACATAGCAAAATAATCAAAACAATACGGTAATCGATAAACTTATTCAATCGACAGCATTTGGACGCAAAAGAACTTTTATATCGTATATCGTCGAACGTGACCGCAACGTCAATGTTTTCGCGATTAAATTCACATTGTGTACGAAAGAAGGAATTCGAAATAGCAAAGTGCCAAAAATATGTGTTTCCTACGTACAAATCTCTCACTCGCGATTGTTATAAACAACTTCTGCTGTGAGAAGAAAAGAACGTCCTCAAGTGACTTAATCTCATCATTATCAGCAAGAAAGCATCGACAAACATCAGTATGCACGACTTCAGCACGTCATGGCATTCGAAATCCGTGCCAAAAGACCGAGAAATATTCTTGCCTGAAATTTAAGGACTGCCTGCGAGAAAATCAAATATATGCGATAAAATTAGCATTTTGACAGGAAATTTTATCGAAGCGAATTACTCTTTACGATTTCTCTTCTTTTTTATGATGTACACCATGAGGAAAAACCGTCGACTGTTATCGGCGCTATATTTCCACTACTTTACGAAACGAGCAACCGAGCAACGACGTATCGATCCTCTTTCACTCACGAAACTTCGAATCTCTCATACGAAGACTGATTTTTTACACCGTTTAAAATTTCCTTCATAATTCCAAGACCCTTCTGCGTATCGTACACTTGGCGCGACACATTTTTGTAAATATGTAACGTAAAACATCGCGGTATAATGATGTCCATGCAGATGTCCGTGTATCCATGAAATTCATCTTTATAGTGCTGCGCAAGCAATATTACACTTATTCGTATTGATAGTTTCTAATGATCAGCACTAACGTAATTAAGAAGAAACGCTATCCTCAATGAAAGACATCGGCATCATCGTCTTTGAAACATCAGGATAGGAAAGATTTTACAAACAATCGTGATCTAGCCTCTTCGATTTTGATAATATCACGTTACGAGGCAGACACCTCGTGACATTCGAACAAACACATTCGAACACTTGAATTATGAAAGACTATGTGTGATTCCTGCCAAAAAAAGAAAAGAAGAAATAATCGATTCCAAGTTGCCAAATGTTAATTGTGTATCGAATATCGTGAAAAAAATCGGTTTATTGTATATAGATAGAGGATATGTATACACATAGCATTCTTTATTATAGCCTAGGCTTTCGGTTAATAAAAGTACCCCACAAAGCTGTAGATTGATTATTCCAGTTATTATTATAACTTCCTCAATCCTTAATAACAAATTAATTATTAACAATTAATTTTTATCTTAATTTATTATTACTTTGAGAAAAAAGTATTTGGTATTCGTAATTATAATTGCATGATAAAATAATTATGATTAAGAGCTCCATTTTTGTTATTACTGCTATAATATTAGTAATAATAATTACGTACACATATCATTTTTTTTCTGTCAGTGTATGGAACGATAAACCTACACAAAATACAAATTCTCAAAAGAAGGATATCAGCCGTAACCAAAGAAATAAGACTTAATCCGCACTACGGATTTTACAATAATCATCTGTAATTTTATACGAATCGATTTTATTATAGCTCGCGCGATTGTTTATTTGCTTTATCACGATTGCGCATGAAACATCTCGTTTAAGATTTACAGCTACCATTTCAGCCAAATGGAATTTCCTAGCGTATCTCCGGCGATCCGTTAAGTCATCTCACACGACTAATTAATTAATTATAATGGCAGCTTAGACCGGACAGCTTAGAACGCGTCTGTGGTTCGCATAGATTTCGTAATTAACTCGGGAGTATCCCTGAGCGTCAATCAGTTCCGATCTGATACGTCGAAGGAGAAGCCATAGCTGCAAGGAGATACACCTTCTAATAATATATGCCTCGATGCAAGTCCGTTTTATGGCTGCGCATCTGCATAGTATCACAAATGACTGATACCGCATAGTCTCATGCGGCAGGTAAGTGAATAATAAAAGAAAATCTTAAAGCTTACTTAGAGATTTCTCATTTTATCATTTATTATTTACATAGATGTATAGAGGTACGTTTTAGAAAACTTTTTCATCTACTATTAATTTTCCTACAATCTCTTGCATATATGTGACAGTCTTTAAATTAATATTATACATAAATATATCAATCTTATATAAATTATTATTCTTCGTTTTCATGAATATACATATATATTAAATATTTCTCATGTTCCTCTTCGTGTGTATAAAATAATGCAATAAAATACTGCTATTCTTTTTCTGTATAAAATATTATATTACCTCTTTTACTTCAAAAGGCATAATTCAAAAAATTAAGCTCCTCAAAAAACGGGAAAAATTGTTAATTATTAATTAAAATGTCAATTTATATTATATCCGCCTATATATACCAATTGTCAAACAAATATGTACAAATATAAGTAAAAGCAAGATTGAAAATGTAAAAATTCAAATACTTCAAGTAATAAAATATCAAGATTTCTAGTAATCATAAAATATTGGTAGAGCAAGAATGATTAATTCTTATCTAATACATATAATGCTAATAAATAATTTAATAAACAGAGAGAAACAAAAGAATTAATAAATCATACGTTATAATAAGTTGTTATATACATATGTTTGATAAATTAAATAAATAAAACTTATTTTTTTTAACATAATCTTTTTAATTAAAATACGTTTATTTTGCGTTAATTATAAGCCAATAAATTTACATGTACTTTTGAAAAAATACAAATACAATATCTAAAGCATAATCGTTATTCCTAAAAATTTATCAACTAGAAGAAACGTAATTTTTATCTCGTAATAATTTTGAACAGAATTATAAAGGATATATAAAAAGTATTAGAAACTGCACGGATCTCGAGAGATTAATTAAGCATATATATAACCGTATCTGAACTGCTGTCACGTCCACAACGTCGACATCCCTCGAGAGGGAATTAAAGTAGCAGTTTGAAATAAGATCACTACTAAGTAAATTTAATGAGAATATACAATAAGAAAAAATGCGACAAGAAAGATCAATGTGATACATCGAGAAATGCTGAGACACACTGAGCAACGCAATTAGCAACACTAATTAATTCCACGGGTTTCGTTTAACCGGCGTGTGTATTGTTAATTTACTCAGTATATAACGGCCGTAAATGTATATCGCGATTATCCAGAATTTTCGTTTATTTTATAATTATATTCTGCAATCTCATAAACGAGTTCAGTACGTTTTTATGCCGGCATAAAATTCATTTGCGCTATTTTATGAAAGTAATATTCAAACTATAGCCAGATCTTCGTAGTGAAGAAACTTTCTTTTTTCTCTTTTTCTTTTTCTCTCCCGCTCCCGTTCTCTCTTTAATGGAAAATATATAAGATAGTGATTAACACAATTAACAAAAATATGCACAATAAAATTCTTTTTCTAGCATAGGAAGAGCATAAGAAGACAGCGCAGTAGGGGACATAATTAAGGGAAACTAAAAATACACACGTTAATATTAAAAAGTAGATTACTTTTATAATTATTTATCACGCTGCTCACGTTTAACCGAAAATACATTAATCACCTCTTTGCGTCATTATTCATTTGTTACATGCTTGTCACTGATTATATTCGCAGCTTATCAGTCTTACAAAATACTCTACCATAAATGTGATTTTACAATAAATCAAACAAATAGTTCACGTCTACCAACAAAATAGTTACTTTTTTGTATTTCTTACTGTTTTGTAAGGAAATGAAGAGATATAAATAGTATATGTTACAATATGATTTATAATTTCAAAATGAAGAAGAAATAGTGGTGAAAGTATAATATAGAGCGATGACGCGATTTGTTAAAGAATAACTGATATTATTCTAGGTAGCACAGCTGTATTTTTCAAATGTTAAAGAAATAACAGTTAAACGAGCTATTACAAAATATCCGCCGTATGTAATAAGCCATGTATCACTGAAACCACTTTTCTCCCTTTTTCGTTCACTCGACCTTGCATGGAGTTCACCGACGAGTACTTTATTTGCATCGCGCATATCTTTCAGTTTTCCTTCACGAGCACTCGCTCGATGAAAACCGCACGATTTGTGGATACATTTCGCTATTTAACTGCAGAGTAATTTAATTATTCGAGAGCGGTATCTTAAACTTTCCATGCAAAATAAAGACAGAAGTGACAATTAAAGATATGTAAATCAAGATTTTCGACACGAAATCAAATTAAATCGTGATTCTAATCTTTTTGCCCGAATCAAATTCAAATCAAATCATTGACACATAACTTTTAATTAATAACATGATTATTGTTAGTTTTTAATTAACAACATAATTATTATTATCAGATTGAATTTTAATATACAAACAATATAAAACAATTATATGTAAAAAAAATAATATTGATTGTTATATACTGTTTTACTTATTAACGGGAAATATGATTTTATAAAATTATCGATATAAATGATTTTGTATTCAAATCTTTTAGATTCAAAATTTGAATAGTTCGGATTCGAATCTTAATTCTATTCGATTTAATTCGTATTTGACTAGTTCGCACATCTCTAGTGTGAAAAGTCTTCTAATTACTTGAAATTTTTCGAAATAATCGGGAGAACTATGTGTCGAAATAGACGGATAATACTGAAGTCTGGAACACACTGGAAGCACACTGCCGGCGCAAAAATATCCGACACGTTAATGAACCAAGACGTCAGTTTGCAACGGAACGGAGGTGTTTTGCTTTCGAAGCATACCTCCGCATGACAAACAGCCGTGGTCGAGGGTTCTTCTACCTGAACGGTAACTCTCTCTGAACGGCGCACATATTGTTAATCTTTCGCTATGCACACGGAACCAACGGGCGTTGCAGTTTCCAAGTGCAACTATTAATAAGGAGCGCTGCGTGCTGTTAGACCGTAAACTATACCGCTGGTAGCTGAGATGGCACGGATCCGGTACGAACATCATGACGCCGGAGCCAGCGTAGCCCCGTGCACTTCACACACCGGGAAAACTTGGTGCGGAGACAATTGTATTAGAGTTGTCTATACACTCGGCGTACCTACCATCGTTCGCGAATCCGCGTTGCACGTTCTATTGTACATGTACAAGTGGATAATACGCTCAAGCAAGGCGCCTCCCTTGTAACGGGAAGACGCAATTGCGAGCCGAGAAATTATGCATGCGATGAAAATCCCGTGTTTTCGCCCCTCGCAGTCTTCATGCAGCAAGCATCATGCGCTTGCCTCGCCCTCGATCGTGTTTCTGCCACTACGCTACTTCGCTTGGCAATCTTGCTACAATACATGCCGGACGGATACACCTTTGTGATGACTCTTGTAACGTCGATTGACGGTGAATGGGACAGACACGTGATAGTGCATTACGCTAAAAGAGCATCATTCCATTTGAAACGCCGACGTGTTCTTTCAGATAATCTTGCGAGGATCGAATTATAAACTCTAACAAGAGAAGGGCCAGAAGTGGAAATACGCTTTTGAAGTGCGATTTATATCAAAAAATAATTCTTTGTGATCATATTAAGAATCCCAAAACAGATTCAGACACCTGACTGACACCTCTTAGTTTTTTCAAAAATTAATTAATATAAAATTGTTGAAGTTATCATATTGATTAATTATATGCTTGGCAAGATGACAAATTTCGGGGAAAAGAGACAAAAATTAAGTATTACAATGTTTTAATATCAATTGACTTTTTTCTGAGATAGATGATATAAATACATTTTGGATTAGCACTTTGATGACTCCATTTGAAATCACCCTTTTTTATTTCATCAATTGCTTGTTCGAGTTTTATAAAATTTAGTCTATGGAATAATTTGATTATTTGAATCTGAGATCAAAAATAAAAAATTCAAAATGGTGAATACGATATGGCGGACAGAAATTTAAAATAATCTGATTTCATAAAACTCGGTTTTAAGGTAATTTTGAATCGCAAAGTAACATCGAGTTTCCAGTTTCGCTTTATTTAAAGCTCACCATTGCTGCATAAACAATTAGTATTGATTTCCAAACTGATTTTCACTCTGATTATGAACTCTGATTATGAACCCTGTGACATTAGATCCTCTTTCATTGGAGGTTACTATCCTTTTGAAATTCGATATTTCCAGGCTATATTGAAACTCAGCGAAACCAAGAACCTCCTAAAACCGAGTTTTACCGATAATCAGATAATTTTTT